CTTTTTATGTTAAACAATTTTGTTTGTACTATGAAAATTCATAATAATACAGTTGTCTAGGTCTAATATCATCAGACACAAAAAGTTACATGAAAAAATATTGATAAAAGTGTGTGTGTGTGTTTTGCCAATTTTATTCTGTTTTTCCTGTCATCAGTTATATGTATTACATATTATGGGTTCATGTTCTGCAGGATGCTGGAAAAGCAATATAGTTTACCTAATATTTAACTTCTTTAGATGCCTTAAATTTTTTTTCTATAACTTCTAAAATACTTGTATTCTTGAGAGAGAGAGAGAGAGAGAGAGAGAGAGAGCTAAAAATACTGCCAAACAATTTATCTTGTTAAGTACAATTGATCTCTCTCGGTACCTTAAAACCCCCAAAACACATTTTTGATTGCTTAAAACTCCAAATTCATTGTTGTTTTCTTACTTTTTTCTTTCTTTTTCGTTTCATGAATGTTCTTGATGGATTCAAAAATCATTGTCAGTTCCCCATAGTAGGGGGAGGGATGTCAAGAGAGACCACATTTGCCCTGAGGTTTGGACCTGAGGAGGTCTAACCATGAGTGATGAATGGAGGGACACATACAGGTTAGCGAATTACTTACTATTCATTCACATATTCCTCTAAATGATAGAATCAGATAGTCACAACAGCACTTCTTAAAAAAATTTACAATGAACTCCTACGTTTTTGAAATCCTTTACATGTTGACAAAAAAATCCTTACCCTATTTCAAAAAATAATTAAATATTTTCTTCTGTAAATTGTTTATACGTCATTTGTACACTGATTCAGGAAAACTCAATATGAACTTTATTTATAAAATGAAATGGTACAAACTAACACAAAAGCACACACATACCTACACACAACAACATGAAACAACTACTCAAATCTCTTGTATGACCCACATGTTTTCACTGGGAAAATTAACCAAAAAATGCCTACTAAAGTAACTTCCAAAGAAGCAGTGCTGTATTGATTACCTAGTATCACTTGTAGCTGAAAAACATACAAAAAGAAGTATACCATATTATGTGAGGAGTGCAAAAAAATATAATTTTTTAAAACAACTGTAATTGTATACTGTGTACAAGAAATGTATTTAATATGTTGATATTGTTAAAAAATAAAAATTTACTGCATCTCAAGAACACCATTTTATTTGCATTTTCAAAAAATGCATACAAAGAGACTAGAGGATCCTTGAAACAGGGAAATAATTAAAGTTTTTTGCCTGTCTGAACAACAGTAGTGCCTACACCATTAAAAGGTATTATGCAATATTAATATTTTCCGATCGATCTCGCTATACAGAAGGCCCTGCATATCTGAAATGGATCTTTTAGTTTTCCGGTGTACTTCATAAGAAGGCCCTAGGACATGTTTGATTTCTTTCGAAAATGATCACTCGGGTGTTTATTAAATTTTTTGCTTGAATGACATCTAGTCCCTTCTGGCCGCTCATCATGCTTCGTCCATGAACTCCTCGCGATCTATTCAGCCTGCTATGGCCGTCCTATCTACAACTTATGCCCCTCCCATCCAGCATATCCGGCGCTTAATGTTCTTCTCGCTTAAAATGCTACGTGTCACCCCCACACCTTCCGGACTCCTATGGCTGTCTTACCCACACCTTCTGCCCCGCCCATCCAGCCTATTCTGCTTGATCACTTCTTCCTGGTCATCACGGTTCGCCCCGTCTATCCAGATCCTTCCGCTCTATCTGTTCTTCCCGCTCATCACGCTTCGTCCGTCTCTCGCGCAAGTCGTATCAGGCGTGCTATGGCCCTCCCCCCAAATTCCCGCCTCCGCCCTTCCACTATCCACCCTTCCTCACGCTCGGTCGGGCTGCTATAACCAAACTGCCAACACCTCCCGCCCCGCCCGTCCTGCACCTTCCGCTCTATCTTTTCCTCCCGCTCATCACCCTTCGTCCGCCTCTCCCGCACGCCCGATCTGTATAAATGAACATAAATGTAGCTTCACCATCTGTGTCGGTTATCTTAAGCTCTTTCGGAAATTTAAAGATCTTCGAAAAATCGTTTTCCGCGGCAGTACGTCGATTCATTCACGTAATACACTAGGGATCTGTAGCTGATTTACCGTCGCAAATAGTTTTTATTACACGTGAGCGAATATTTTCATATCAATTCTTGCCAACAGTTGCTACTGGTATTCATAACTCAACTTAATATGTATGTGATTTAGGACAGACATCCCAAAGCTCAAGAAACTGTGCACATATTTGAATTCTCCCCTTAATACGTTCACTGTTTTTGGCGTCTAGTAAATAAATGCGGGTACCGCGCAGCAAACTGGGACATCAACCTGGCAGAAACGAGCTGAAGTGGTATCCAAGTGGAAATTGATTGAGCACGTGAAAATAAACGCCAAGATGGAAGCGGAATATTTTATCGATGAGTTAATTCACCACGCGGCGGCACATGTTCGCCTACGGTTCTCTCAAACCCGCTAAGAACGATCTCGAAGCCAGTGTCAAACCGTGTCGAACACATTACGTATTAGGGAAACATTAAGAAACTACGGCGGCTAAGTTCGCATTGTAACGAACATATCACATATGACGAATAAAACCTGTGACGAATTGCTTTTGACTATCCAGTGACGAACGTTTGTGACGAATCGTCCTAGAGCCCCTCTGAACCCTATGGAAGGCTTGCTGGCGTACGGCCACTAAAAACGATTCTGTTTCATCTCATTAAATTTCTGTTAATAACAATCGCAGAAAATTGCAGCAATCAGAAAATAATAACCATTGAATGTAATAATCGATTTACAGATATTTCGATTTTTTATTGTCTGAATAAATATTGCACATCGATCTCGTTAGTCGTTTAGAAATTATAGGATGCATTTTTAGTAGGTGATATGTCCTATAAAGATACTATTCTTCGTTTATTAAGGGGGTGAACGATATTGTTAATACTCCATTATTCTGATATGTTGGTATCATAACATACAGATCTTGCATACTCTTTGAAAATACTAATATATTATTTGGGAAATACCTCTTTTTTCGGTTGACCGCGCTATCCAGGAAGAAGAAAAACAAAGTACTAGGATGTGGTCTCGCCTCAGGAAACAGGAAATGTGGCTGAGAGGGTAAGATATGGCTTTGACGTTCTTTTGCATTGAAAACTGATCGCAAGTCATGTGTCATACACTCACCCTCAATTAAACAAGCCTGCGGAAATGAGTCATAACAATTAGTCGGGGTTATTCACTTCCTCTGGAGCAGGGCTCTCTAACAGACCACGTGGGTGCTCCGTGCATCGTTTCCGCCCGCGTCGGAGCAAGCCGTGCCTCTGGAGGTGAAGGGATGTAGACGTCATCAGCAGTAGTACTGCATCAGCACTGTACAGTAGTTAGACACGGCGAGACGCAAGAAAACACAACGAATGCTTAAAAATTACCAATTAATTTTTAAAAAATCGAAAATATTTTTTTTCTATAATTTTATCTCATCGACATTTTTAAAAATATTAAATTGGGACCAAAAACCATAAAAATGTTATGCAGAACTTACATTTCCAAAAATATAGATCAGAAGTATGTTAAAAATAACAATATACAAGTCACGTTCTTCGTTGTGTGACGTGGAGAGGCCCCAATTGAAAACTAGTGGTGCTACAAAAGTAAATAATTTCTCGCATTCTTTATTTTTGCAATTTTCGAAAGTTCAATGAAAATGAGCCACCAAGCGTTCTCTTCTCTGTCTGAAGAAAAAAGTTGAAGGAGGTTTTGATAAAAAATAATAAATTGCATTAACTTCAAGCAGAAATTATGCGAAAATTACTAGTTCTTTTTTCGAAACATCATACATATGACTTTATTTAAAGATCCAAGTTTTTAGAACATTTAACAACAAACAAACATATATATTGTACATATCAATATTGTACATTCGCAATGTGTTTTTTTTTGTCATTTTCAAAAATACAGAGTTCGCCGAAAATGGGGCCAGCACCAATTATTTTACCGTCCTTTAATTGATGTAAGGGGAAACAAGTGGAGCCGTTTTTGAGAAAATAATTGTTTAAAAATTGCCTCTCACGAAAAATTTCGAGAGAACTACTCATATTTTCGAAAAATTGTACATGACCATATTGCAAGATCTGTTTTATCAATACATTTCATTAA